ATGCACCTCGAGCCCCGCAGCGGGTTATATGGAACTCGCGGCCGTGGACGAAAAGTGGCCGTCTCGAAAACAATCTCAGCCAGCAAACGGCCCGCAAGGCTACATCTCTTTTTGTTTGCATGTTTGTGTGATTTCTTGTTTGCATGATTGTGTGATTTCGTGCTTGCATGATTGTGTGATTTCTTGTTTGCATGATTATGTGATTATTTGTTTGCATGACTGTGTGGTTAGTTGCTTGCATGATTGTGTGATTTTTTGTTTGCTTGATTGTGTGGTTCCTTACTAGTATGATTACGCGATTTTTCTGTTCGGGTAGTAGTTTAATTTCTCTCTCTCATCACGGTCGCACCCTTCCAGTTTGTATGCCTTCGTTATATGTCTCTTAATTTGTGTACACTTCTTCAAAACCCCTTTCTTAGCATGCTCCCTCGCGGACTTGCTTGTCCACCGGAACAGCATTCCTCCGGGAATTTAGGACTCCGGTCCAGCAGGCCCCTACAGCCCATCTTATGTTAGCTCCATCCAGAGACAGCACGAACGCTGAGCATGCTCCCCCGCGGACTTGCTCGCCCTCCGGGGCATCCTCCATTCGGAATTCTAAGGCTACGACCTCTCAGACCTCCAAGTCTTATTCGCCAGTCCCCTCCAGCGGGCCATGTGACAAAACAGCATGCTTCTCCCGAAGACATGCTTGCCACTCAGGCACCACAGGAATTGAGATCGCCGAGTGACATGCTTCCTCTTCCTGATAACTTCCCCGGCCTCTTCCCCTCCGGGGTACGTCACAAGCACCTTCTCAAAACCCAGAAACTTCTGCATAAGCACAATGCGAAGACTGTCCAGGCAGTAAGGGAGTCGAGGGAACATCCTCGGGAAAAGCCCTACTCCACACCAGCTGCATTTGAGTAGCAACTCCTCCCTGCGTTAGCGCTCTGAGACGCAGGGAACATCTATTCATCCGCTCAACGACGCCACCTCTGGCCCTTGGGTCGGTGTGGTATCCGCGTCATTGTCTCATGTCGATCCCCATTGTCACGTGAGACTATAACCTCACTCATGACCCCGATGAGAGGGGGCAAGACGGCTTATTGTCTAGTGCCTCACAAAACAAAAAGTAAAATCCCACCGGGGAGATGTCCACCAGTGGCCAAGCTATCAGGTCCTTCGGGAGCATCCATATCCTCCTATCCTGAGCAAGTACTGCAATCCCCCAGATGCGTGCCCCAGTCAGAGTAGACCCCCATCACCTAGCTCCCCCGACCGATGACGTACTCCTCCGGATACATGGCAAAGGCAGGAAGAGTCTCTTATTATATACGTAGTCTGACCGTCTCACGGTTTGCTTCCTCTGAAGTTTAATTCCTTCGGCCAATAACGTACTCCCCCGGTTGCGAATAAGGCCGGAGTTAACATCTATTAAGCCGCCCTGTGGTTCGCTTCTCCGGAAGTATGAATCCTTCGACCGATAACGTGCTCCCTCGGGGTTGAAACCCTTTTTTCGCTTGCTCCTTCGACTAGAGCCGCACTCCTTTGCGGTGCATGGCAGGGTCAGGGTTAATGCCCTTCTTTACTTTCCCGGAAGTCCGGACCTCCTAGCTAGTACCATATTCCATCGGAACACGTGGCACAGCTTGGATGAGTCCTTATTTTTATCGTCTTTAAGAATTTAGGTTCGCTCAGACTAGTACCGTATACCCCGAGATACGCGGCAAGGTTGTCGTCTCAGCCTAATCTTTAAATGGTGGAACGCTTAGGGAATCGGATAACTCGTGCTTATTGTGCAGAAAACCCGAGAGAGGTCGACTCCCCGACTCATTTCTTAATCAGTCGAGAAGTCGGGGGCAACCATTGGGACCAATTTTACCACCCCTAACGGGAAGGCGACACGTGGATAGCAAAATTCCCTAGATACTGACACACGCCATGCTAGCTCGGCCGAACCACTCCCATGCACTATTTCCGGGCAATTGGTGAACTTCTCCAAACACGCATGAATCATTAAAGCACCTGCTCCTCTGGCGCGCCGAATGGAGAGAACAAGGGAGGGAGAAAGCTAGTATATAAGGAGAGAGATCCCCACACAAGAAGGGGATCGGCTCAACGGACCAATCTAAGGGACCATATTCCGGGAACTCGTTTCAAAGAGAAGAGGTCTAACCATCCTGAACTGACCTGCACCACTGAACAGCATAATCGAGAGAGGACCTCCCTGTTCCCTCGAGATAATGCCTACCAGGATAAGTTCTTGTTGACCCGGAACCCTACCTTTATACTCGCTGAATCTTCCTCATTCTGTACAGAACTCCGCTCGAAACACTCATAAACATATAGATCTCTCGATACCCAGATGAGACTTATCACCCGAACTCGTAGAAACACCCTCCTAAGTTCTTGTTCCGAGAAGGGCGTTCAGTGATTTGGGCGTCGGAGAACCTTCAAGAGAGAAACCCCCTTTCGGTCTTCCCGAAGGCCCGACTGACCTTTTGTGTAGTGTTTACAGGGGCAGATGAGCTAACTACCCCGCTGACAAGACCCAAACCGGCTTCCGCCCCGGAGCGCCTCACCGCCTTTCCCCAGAGTACGAAAGTTGTAGGCACAACACCACTCCCCAGACGAATAACACACTCCCCCATGGCATTTCAAAATTTGGTACCGAACAATTGGAGTAAAACTCAACTCCATTTTAAAGTTACTCTATTTTGGAGTAAAAAAGAAGATTTACATTGGAGACGGAAAAAATTTATTTTCTTCATCAAATCAATTCATCAAAAATGAACATAGAGATGAGTGGAAAGCTGTTAGAGTATTTTATAAAATATAATTTCAAAATATTTATATTTAATATTTATTATATATTTTTTCAAAATGGAAAATTGATATTAGATTATCCATTGTACTATATTTATTGTCATGGCATAAAGTAAAATATTATTTTTTGATTTTTAAAAAGTTTTTGTAAGTTTTAGTAATATCTAATATAATTTTTAATTTGAAACTATCTATCATCGAAAACAATGAAATAATAAGAAATTTTGATTCAATACAAAACAGTAGAAACGGTTTTAATGATTGTTGTTAAACGCCAAAAACCATATTGTGTAAAAGCATTAGGTTTGTGGAAAGTATCAGAAAACAAACGAATATATAAATATTACAATTTACTTATTTCTAACTCATACATGCATACATAAATATACTTATTTTTTTGTTTGTAAAATTCAACCATATATTATAAACATATATACACATACTTTGCTATTTTATTTTAACACATAAAAGCTAAATTTTAATTTTTACATAAATATACGTGCGAATATGGATATTAATTGCACAGAAGTTAAAATCGTATGCGAACTTGTCGTGTGTGGAATTTTTTAACCTTGATTATAACTCAATATTTAAACATATATTTTTCTGAATCTCTATCTGTTCTAAGAGATGTGAGATGAATGGTACGCTCGCATGTACTGGCCAACCATCTATCCGATCTTAGGATAAATAAAATGGTAAAACTCATTTTAATTTAATTTACAATAGGTCAAGAAAAATATATACTTAAAATATATATGTATTGGTAAAATCATATTGTGTAAGGGGAAAATAGAACATAGTATAGATAATATTATAAAAAATATGTTAGAATTTAGTTATTATCTAGTATAACTTTAATATTTACAATTATATATCACTGTAAATGCTAGAAAAATAAAAAGCTTAAAATAAATCAGTTTCCAAAAGACACAAAATAATATGAAATATTTGTGTGATTATTGTTAAACACTAAAATTGAATATTTATATCAATATAACATTTTCAGAATTTATGAAAAACTAATCAATATTTAAATATTACAACTAAATATGTCTATTGAAAAATTATACTCGTGCATATATGGAGGTTAACCACCTAGTAAATCTTAAATAAAAAAAGAACTATAGAAATTCTAAAAAAAAAAAATAAAACACCAAAAACTTGGTAAGGAAGTCATTATCTAAATCAAACGCATGTACATCAAAGTTGGATAATTCATGTACATCAAAGTTGGAAATTCAATAGTTGTCATTACTATAATTTTACTTCATAAAGTTTATATTTTAATTATTTTATATAAAAACACTTTTATAAAGATATTATAATTTTGATAGTTTAAAAGATATTAATTAAAAAAAAATAAACCAAATTATTGATACAAACCAAAGTATAGTATAGATTAAAAGCATAGTAATTAATTAGCCACTTCTCTTTCACCTAAATTATCTACCTCAACAATTTTTTCTTCATATAATAATATGGGCCTCTTCATCTTAGGTGTGCATATTAGTTGGGTATCACAATAAAAACTTAAGTAACCTATAAATTCTGCAACATCATATGTGTTTGTATGAGTTCCCTTCTTTGGGCTTTCACATCCCTCATTTGAGATTTTCACTAGGATATTCCCGTATTCGTTAATGAATTTAGGTATCGGTCTAAGTAGCTACGAAATTTGTGTAATATTTCAAAGCTTTGGCTATAATATGATCCTACAAAACAGCACCAAGTTTTTACTAACAAATTAGATGTTCAATAAGTAATATGAATAATGGAGTTAGGGGGGGGGGGGGGGGGAGGGGGAGGGGGACCAGCATCAAGCCCATAAACGTCTTTGATTAGAATTGCTACTACACCATCTCCTGGTAGATGCCCTCCTTGATTAACTACTTTGTCACACACCAGCTCCTTGTAGACGTCCTCCTTGTTTAACTATTTTGTCACACATTTTTATGGTTCCACCACTCGCCTTTATATTTGTTTCTACATGTTTTTGATCTTGAATCGGGATAAAACTGTCTATGAATGTAGTTTTTTTTTGTATATATATTTATCAATAACTTACCTTTCCAAAATTATTGGATGATTCTATGCTATTCCTGTAATTTTAACAAAGGTTGTAAGCAATCAAATAAATCATTGATCATTTATAATGTCAAAAATTAACTTCGAGAACAAACAAAAGTATTGCCGTATATAAGTTTGCATATTATTATTATTTTAGAATATATTTATTAAATATCAAATTACATATATCAAATTCCACAAGAGTTTCCTCCTGGACTACCATAATTGAAAAAGAAACCAAGTTCACTAGTAGAATATGAAATATTTTTACCAATTCTTAGCCCATAACATTTCGCACTATCTACCAACTTCTCTATAGGAAAATGATTAATTTTACATTTCTCAAAGTTAGAACTCAGTACTTCAATCTTCGCAAAAATTGCTGATTCTGAAGGTATTCTATTAGGAAAATTACCCATACCCATCGGAGGACTTGAACCAGAATGCGAAGCCTGAACCACACCTCCAGCACCAATCATATTTGCACCATTTTCTAATTGATCAAATAGCTCTTTAGGCCAGTAGCCAACATCCTCATCAGGCGCAATTTTTGATAGCCACCAGTTTCCTGTCTGTTTATCCTATTTATGTACATTGAAAAAAAAAATTATTTGTTATCAAAAATTGCAGTGAATGATGTTCCAGTCAAACTGGTTGAAAGGAGGAGTCTTCAGACTAATAAACGAGGTTATAATTTTCACATCGATCAGTAAATTGATTCTATAAAATATTAATTTCATGAATTAATCATAATTTTCTACCACTAAATAGAAATGACATATATAATAATTTGCACTTTACAAAAATATATTATATAAAGAACAAAAAAATATACTATAAAGTTAGAAAAATACCTGATGGATAGAGCAAAGCATCCATTCAAATTTCCCTGGCTTAAGATCAATGGGTTCAGATATTGGAACATAATGCGAGACTTGAACAAATCCTGAACATGCCGTATTATAACATCCTTTTCCTCCTTTACCCTATTAATTCATGTTTGATAAGTATCTACATGTTCTTTTATGTAAAGATATCAACATACACATTGGACACAATTTAAAAAACCCAAAATAAATTTGTTCGGATGCATACCTTCCAAAATCCATATGTCCAAACACGTCCGTCACCAAAAAGAGCTGGATTTATCTGTCAAAACACTACCAATACTTTAAAACTACACAGAATATCAAATGGATTAGAGGAAAATTAACCAATAAATTGTAAAACTTACCATCCACCCCGCGGAGATAAAATTTGCATCTTTATATAATCCACCGCTTATATATATTTGACTATAAGAAGCTTGATCTTTTCCAACATTTAGGTTAATTCCATTAAACCAAGCTTCTATACCACGAAATGAACCATTATGTGACCTTATTCCAGCAATCTAGCAAAAGCCAGTCACAACGACATTAACTAATACTTCAGATATGCATTAAAAACATTTATAAGATCTACGATATTTAGAGAAAATAACTGTTTTACATGTGTTCCAGGGCTATCAGCTGATATCAGATGGGAATTGTTGACAAAAAGCTGCGCACTGCTGATGAATTCTTTTGTATTTCTCAATACAGGAACAGTTCCATATGGACATTTCATTTTCTTAAATGTTTTGTTGTTGCCAATTTTTTTCTTTATTTCGTGTCTCGAAACTGATGGTTGCATCTGTTTTGGAAAAAAATTGTGTATAATGAAATTCAAAAATCACCATTCATAAAATAAAACAAAAAATTAAAATGTATGAAAGAGACTAATTTCTGAAACCATGCACCTGGATTGTGTGGTTTCTTAGCAAGGGGTGATCAAGTCCTGGCTGCTTATAAATATCTATGCAATCATATGTTACATTGTCGTTTATCTACTAGTGACAAAAAAAGGATTTAAGAGATCTTTTATAATAAAATAACGTTATTTAATTCAGTATATAATATAAAGAGAAGAAGTTGAATCAGCTAAGTAGATACAGGTCACAATAATGTAAAAAAGACATATCTAAAGTTTATTTTATTTTAAAAGCTAACCTTGAAAGATTTGAGAGGTACCATACTTTGATTGGAACAAATTAAAGCTGCTGAGAACAAAATAGACAAAAGTTTCATAATAAGAGCTATCATAAATCTTGTAGACATTTTATTAATTTTGTTTTCCTAAGAATGAAAACCAGAACACTCAATAATTTATAGGGGGCAGCAATAAAATTAGCACTACTATTAATATATTTTTTATTAAGGAAATAAGATTAGTTTCTAATAAATGAAACATATTTGACTGAATTTATTACCTTATAAGAGTATATCCAAAAATAATAAAATATGGTTCATTCAATAGTATATCTTGAAACTTTATAAATTAAATAAATATTAATTGTAGAATAAACTATTACTTTGACCATAAACTAATAAGTTGTAATCAATTGTTTACCAAAAACTTAATACCCCCTGTTCTTAAAAGAATGATGTTTTGAATAATTTACACATATTAAAACTTAATTAGAAATACATCATTTTTTGTGATTAACATCATTTCTTATAATTTCAAACCAAAAATAATTTAGTAAATTCATTTAATTCTCTTGAAGTTTACAATTTTTCATCATTGACTAAGAAAAAATGAATAGAAAAGATAAAACATCTATCTTTACAAAATAAAAATAAAATTGAAAAATCACATTTTTGAAGAATAGAGGGAGTGTAGTAAATATTTTATAAATTAATAATATTAAAAATTCAATATATCATCATATATTTCCATCGATAAATTAATATATTATTAATTTATAGAGATAGTTTTTGGTTTGAATTCTTGATATTCACAAAAGGAAAAAATATTTCTAACAATATAAAATTTGTTAAAAAATATCATATTAATGAATTTATAAAATTAATAAAATATATTTATAAACTTGAAATAACAATATTATCATACTTTACTATATTATATTATTTATATATGACTAAATGTATAGTTTTAACTTATCTAATTATTGAGACAATATTTTTACATAGGAGTTCCAAGACAATTATTTTCTTATTATTTTACATGTAAAAGTTATATTAATTTATAGATGTTCTACTGTATGTATTTAACTGCTATATGTCATAAGCAGCCAACTAAATGATTTACATTATCATCTCTAATGAGACTATTTTTTTTTGTCTCTAAACTCTATTTTTAGAGTAAAATCATCTACAATAATATTATATATCCAACTCTAAAAGTAGAAGTCTTTATTTCTAATTCCAAATTTGGAGTCACAAATAAAAGTCTCTATTTTTTAGAATAAAACTTTTTTTATTTGCAAAATAATTGTTTATATGTTTTTATTTTGTATCTAAACAAAAGTTATATGTTTTATTTTACACTTAAACAAAGTTATAACAATGATATAAATAATGAGAAATGATTTCTGTGAGAAATATTTAATCTTAATTAAAATCAAAATTTTATTTTCTTTTTGTTAAACACATAAAATAAATGTATAAATTTTTAATACTTGTAAAACTAAAAGACCTAAACCCTAGCTGCCGAGGAAAAAAAAGAGTTTTTCTTTGTGGATCATAATTGATGGCTGAAGGCTTCTATAGCTCTGACATCTCCCTGGTTTGTTTCTTTTGCTGTTTTTGTGTGTTTTGATTAGTTTATTTCGATTTATTTGAGATTTGGAAAGATATTTTTGATGTCTTTTGTGAGTTTTCCTCATTGGATTTGGGAAGATAAAAGCTCCAGTTCATGTAAGCTGTTTTAAAGAGGTAGCTCTCATAATAACGCCTTGATAATGATATATTATGGTTTTTATGATTTTTTAAATATCATATAAGTCTTTTTATTGAGTTTTTTTAGTCTTTTTTAGAGTTCTATTAGAGTCTTTACAAGTTAATGTGTGTTTGGAGCATAATTGGAGTTTTTGGAGCATTATGGAGAAAAACAGGAGTTCTTCCCGACTTAAGCAACAAGGAGACAAGTTGTACTCTTGGTGACGATCGTCACCACCTAATGGGTGACACTCGTCACCCAATCCTGAGGAAGCATCGCGAGTTTATTAAAAGATGAAGGAATAATTGCAATTTTTGTCCAGAAGTTTTATTAATTGCAAAATGCCACAATTCGTTGTAGCCTGTATATTTAGGGTTTTCTAGAGAGACATCAAGAGAGATTTATCAAGAGACAATTCGGATACTCTGTTGGAGAGAAGAATTTGAACCTCCTTATACCTTTATTTATCTCTTTTATGCAATCTATTGTATTCATGATGTTTGTTTCATTCACCATGTCTGAGTAGTTTGTTAGTTAGGTTTTAGGTTATTCAAAGGTTGATTATAATTTTTTATAATTGAATTACTGTTGGGATTAATCTGTTAGTTCTTTATCTAGATTTGTGATTACTGCTTATTCTTGCTTCACAACCTAGAATCTGATATTATGTTGATTAATAGATGCAAGGGTATTGTTAACTGCCTGAACTAATCTTAGATGAGCAAAATATCTATCTGCAAAGGAATTTGGTTTAGGAATTTTGTGAACAGATCGAAAGACCTTCTTGCTTGTCTGAATTGTTTGAATTTGCAAAGAGATTTTGAATTCTAGGATTTAGATATAAAAATCTCTGCAGCAAGAGTTGATTGATTTTATACTAGTGTTTCGAGTTCTAGAACGGTACTTAATAAATATTCTAACAGTTTTCATTCTGCAATTTTGATTTCAACGTGTGAATTTCACAAGGCCTAGCGTTTGTCTTCTTGATTTTAAAACCCCCAAATCGAATCTGCTGCCTTTCTTTAGTTTATGTGCATTACATTGTATTTACTCTTAGCTTAATTAGAATCTTGAATTTGTTGTGTGGCTTTCTTAAGTCTTTTGGGATTCCGATACCCTTAATACTACATCTACTTTACTGTGCACTTGCAGTAGTTTTATGTAGGTAAAACTTTGAGACTATCAAGTTTTTGGCACCGTTGTTGATGACTTAATAGTTGCCTTCAGATTTTTAGTTTAGAATTTTGCCTAAGATTTTGGTTTTGTTACTGACAATCTCTTGTCAGTTTCAGGTGAATGCCTAATCGAACTACCAGAAGCAACAAGGATTCATAGCTTATCAGACTAGATAATTAAGAGTTAGCACGTCTCGGAAGAACAAACAGGAAATCAAACAAACCTTTCAAGATGGTCGATCTAATAATGCTGATTCAAGGTGAAGATGGTCTGCTACATGACACAGAGGGAAACATGCGCAACCCTCAAGGACCGAGATTAGATGCTGATGGGGTTGTGATTGTTGAACAAGAAGTGCAACCAGTTGGGCAGCAAAAGCAGCAGCAGGATGCAGGGAACACTGCTGGGCGTTTTTTTCAGCGCACTCTGGGAGATTACAACATACCTGATCAGTTTTATGAAAATAGAGCTGCAATCCGCCCTCCTGCCTTCCAGAGGAATGATTTTGATCTGGAGCATGCATACTACACTCTTGTGGGTCAGCATGTCTTCCATGTTCTTCCTCATGAGCATTCAATGGACCATGTAGAGATGTTTGAGGATCCGGTGACAAGCATCAAGGCTTATGGAGTCAGCAGTGACTACCTTCTCTGCAAGCTCTTCCCATACTCTCTTGGTGGAGATGCAGCTTACTGGGTAAAGCAGTTGCAACCAGGATCACTGACAACTTGGGAGGGCACCAAGAACACCTTCCTCAACAAATTTCTATGATGATGCAAGGTCTGTGGAGCTGAGAACAAAAATTTCTTCCTTTTCTCAAGGACCAACTGAAGCTTTCAAGAGTACCTGGTCAAGGTTCAGATCATATCAGAGGGATTGTCCACACCATGGCTACAATGAAGTGCAGCTTCTAGGAATTTTCTTCAAAGGCGTGGACTTGAGGTATCAGATGGCTTTGGATGCTGCAAGCAATGGAAACTTCAACACCAGGTATCAAGAAGACGCCATTGTACTGAAAGTCAAATTGCTGAAGTTAATGCTAAGTTGGATTTACTGCACAGCTTCTTGTGGGTAAGAATCACCTATAGAATTTGGAGAAGAAGCTGTCAATTTTATCAATGAAGCTGGTTTTCAAGGTCAGAGATTCAACAATCATCAAGGGAATGGAAGCTTCAATGGGAATGGTCAGAGAAGTGCATTCATAAGTCATCAGAACTCTTCTGGTTATACCCCACCAGCTGTAGACTCAGGTAAGCACTTGGTTTTGTCTCTTTTATCCAATCCACTTCTTCTATTTTGACAACTTCAGGCTTGATAACACTGGGGACATTGTTGTTCAAGTCTGGGGGAGGTAGTTTCTGTTATTGTGTTCTGTTTTGAGAGCCAGTGAGTTGTATCAAAAACCTGTTTTATTGTGTCAAAATTAGTTGGGAACTAGGACCTTTCTCTTGATTGTTTGTGTTGATTGTTTCATCTGAGTGACCACTGCTGTAGAATTAATACCAATATCTGACTAATGAAAAATCCTTAGGCTGACCAGTTAACTAGAACATACATAGTTCTAGCAAAGTCCGTAAAGCCTGAGCTTTTAAAAGACTAAGTTAGTGAGTTTGATATTCATAGAGCTTGACTCCTCATTCATATATGATAAATTTCCTGCAATATTTGAAAAGTAATGGTACTCATCTCCCTTGTTTTAAATTACAAAATTTTAAAATTTGACATGATTCTTTTTGGGTGAAGGGTAGGAAAATTTCCAATGATCACAAGTGGAAGTAAGGTTAAAATTATCCCGTGATACCATTATTTACCTACACCTGAAGTAATAAATTAAAAGTAAAATAGTCTAAGAAAAGAATAAGTTTGGAGGAGAGAAATAGTACCAAGAGTTGATAGTAATCATACCTGATTTGTTAAGATATAGTATGTTAATGAGACTAGAAGGTTCTCGAACATTTAAAGCATTGATGAGGTTTAGCAAGGATTATTAGTGGATAATGCTGTGAATTTATGAGTTGAATTTGAGATACTGTGAATGCCTAATGAGAAGTACATGGTGGTTTAATTTGGATTGATTTTTGCAGTGTGTTGATTACAGAATAAGCAGTTAGTACAATGATCTACAGAGAAGGAGAGTTCCCGCGTTTTTCAAACCTCGACTCTGTTCTTTGTTTTCTGTTTGTTTGAGGGCAAGCAAAAGCTAAGTCTTGGAGAGTTG